AAATACAACAACCACACAAACTACAACCCCAATTCCATCAACAACTAAACCAATAACCACAACAACCATTCCCAACATCAACCAACTACCACATTAATTCCACAACCTAACCACCCCTACACCCAAATACAACAACCACACAAACTACATCCACAATTCCATCAACAACTAAACCTTACCAGTAACCACAACAACCACCCCAACATCAACAACTACCACATTAATTACAACAACCACCCCTACACCAAATACAACAACCACACAAACTACAACTACAATTCCATCAACAACTACACCACTAACCACAACAACCATCCCAACATCAACAACTACCACATTAACAACAACCCCTACACTAAATACAACAACAACAGAAACTACAACCACAATTCCATCAACAACTACAACAACACCAGATACAACCACTGCACTATCCCCATTGATCACACTAACAACAACAACAACCCCTCTACCAAATACAACAACCACACAAACTACAACCACAATTCCATCAACAACTACACCAGTAACCACAACAACCATCCCAACATCAACAACTACCACATTAATTACAACAACCACCCTTCACCAACTAAGAACAGCCGTACCTACAACAACAACTACACCACAAACTACAACCATCGTCCCTTCACAAACTCCGACTGTTCTCCCTACAACTACACTATCAAGTACATCACATATTTCTACATCTGAAGACACAACTGAATCCCCAACACCTGTAACTGGAGTCTCAAAACAAGGTGAGTACGACAAATGGTGACGTTTTAAACTATGTTTTCGCGAAGAGGAGTTTTGCACACAAAACTGCAGGATGGTAAACGGAAAACCAAATTGCAGTACAAATAAAATTTGGTCCACCTTTGTATCTCTTAATGCACATAGGTAAATAAGAACAATCGCAGTTGAGGTTCTCTATGCATATTAGTGTTTCAGCACTCTTCTGGCCTGCATTGTAATGTCAAGTCACTGTTCTTCTAGGTGTTGTAGCTATGAGAATCCAGATTTCCTCTGCGTCTCCTCTGTCTGAGGACTTCATCAGGAGTACCATCATACAACAGGTCAGCCTCTTATTGTCTACTCAGAGATCAGCTCATGTCAAAACATCAATTTAAAGTTTCCTAATGTTTCTTCTGCCTATTTTTCCAAAATCCCAAAAATGATCCGTTGAACCGGGAAGCCCTTTTTACCCCTTTATCCTTAAAACAAACACCCCTGGTTTCAAAGGCACATTGTTTGAAAATACATTAGACCTTTCAGATTTAAATCTGTTGAGCTAGCTCTTGCATAATTGTTTGCGATGTGCTTCTGTTAGTTGCAGGGAGAGCGTTTATTTTCAAACCACAGACTTTGAGAACCTGTCCATTTGTCCCAGAGTAATGGACTCTCTGACAAATGGGCTTTCATTACAGGAAACATTTTCAGGTTTAACTATATGTGTTACATTTGAAATGAATGCATAAATAAAAAGAACAATTGCAAACTTATTTTGAAAGTAAGGTTCAAGTATCGTAAGCGTCCAACAATTGTAGATAACTTAGAAGGACTATACAATATAACAGCATCAGTATTCCAACCCAGTCTCACAAAAAAACGTGTAATAGCTACGTTTGTCCACAAGGCAAAACGTAGTATATTCACAAATAACCCTCTCAAGATGGATACAATATTTTTTCCTATTCATTTCTAATGACCAGTGCCCAGGTCACGTGATCACAAACTTTCCCGGCGTGAGGAGAAAAAAAAACATGGCGGACACCCGATTTATTTTTTGTGGAAAATCCTAAATTGTAGGATAGTTTGGCCATTAAAATGCTTTTTGATTACATTTCTAGCGAGAACTTTATATTGTACTTTTAGAAACTACGTCCAGTGGATGTGTAGGATCCGTAGTTTGATAGATATTACGAAGATTATTTGAGCTCCATGTTTTTGTTGTCACGTCCTGAGAGGGTTATTTGTGAATATACTACACTTTGCACTGTCGACCAACTATTACACGTTTGTTTGGGAGACTGGGTAGAGTATTCTCACTTTACACAGAACAATGATGTCATAATTCATCATAATTGTCATAATCATATATATTTCTACATCTCGCACTTATTTCTATTTTCTTCTACAGATTAAAGATGAGCTGGTGAGAAAGGGGCTGCCATCAGACATAACTCTACGCCTCGTCAGAAGTGTTCAACTTGGACTCACAAACCCAGCAACCCCTGTCAATTAAACCTGAATATTTGTAGGTGCCACTCAAATGTAAAACCTTAAGGTCAGCCTCTTTTGAGCAAACACCACTTCATAATCTTTTATTCCTAACTTCACCTGAAGATGAAATTAATACTCCGAATTTGACAATCTGAATTAAGGACTATCTACTTTCACCAAAGGAAATCGAATTAATTACAGATATTAAAATCCTTCGCAGCAAAATCTGGGTGAATGCAAACCATAGCTGTGAAAAATGTAGTGTGTTTACTGATGTATATTTTATTATATTTCCATATTTGAAGTGTATTATAGTTTTATGAGTGAAAGCAGTATATTTCTATTACACTGTATATGCAAAAACCCAATAGGGACAGTATTTTATCTACTCTAAGTATTGCATTTTCCCTCAATCAAATAAAACATATTCAAATTCAATATTCTAGATTATGTATATGATCAGAGTTTAATGATTTAAAATCAAAGTCTTCAGTTTTGTTTAGAGTTTTATTGCAGAAGGTGGTTGAAGTCATCACATTTTTGATGAAATAGTTGACTAGTGTTACTCTAAGTTTTGCTGATATCGATTTTATTCCCAATGTGTTTTAGGTCCAAATGCAAAAATTAGTAACCTCAATTAATTTAAACTGAACAAAAAAAAATCTTACATAAATGAAGGTTATTCCGTTAAAGGGGACCTATCATGCAAAATTCACTTTTTGATGTATTTTATACATAACTATGTGTCCCCAGTGTGTCAGGGAACTCACGCAGCGTCAGAAAATAAAACCCTCTCTCTTTTCCTCCGTACCCAAATCTCTAAAAACGGGGTTACAACGGTTACGGAGCTGATCCAGATTTGCGGCCGATATGACGTAATATCGGTGACACCATAGCACTATCAGAAACGTTGCTATCAGAAACAATGCCCGACTGTTTTGGACGTAATATGGTCGGTGTTTACATTAGCATCGCTAACACTCAGAGCTAACCTGTACTGGAGAGCATGTGTGTGAAGAAGCAGGAAATAAAAAGGAACTCACCTTGTGGTATAACCGGCATGAGAGAAAGCCTTTGAGCTCCATACTGTTTCAGAAATAATCCTTGATCTAATAATCCTTGCGTTTCATCACCGCAGCATTTTAGACAGTAGCCTATCTGGCATAAGCTCCGCCCCCTCTTATTTTATTTTTTTTCTATTTAAAAAAAAAAGAAGCTTTTTTAATTTAGCCTTTATTTATACAGGTGAACATCTCATTGAGACACAGGGTCTCATTTCAAGAGAGACCTGTTCATACTCAGAATCAGCACTTTTGGAACAGGAAGAGAAATAGAGGGATATGAGGCATGGCTAGAATGGGTGATCTTTTTTTTAGCAAAACACTTCATAGACATGTTTTTTTTATATATTTTTATATATCTGAGACCTATGCTATTGCCTAAAAATAGCATGATAGGTAACCTTTAAGACTTTGTTGATTATGCTCATTCAGGAAGCTTTATTTTGTCTTGCACTGTTTCTTAATTGTATTGTGTTTAACTCTGAAATGTTTCTAATGTACATAAGTGTACAGAATGACCTCAAACTGAAAGAAACTGCATAAATTAAGTGAGAAAATAATTAAAGAACAAATGTCTCCATTGGACTCCTTTGTTTACTTCCAGAACATAGTGACATCACTACGTAACACTCACACTTCTATATGCTAGTGATCTGACACATTGTACGTGATACGGGACATCTCGAAGCGGTTGTCAGCAGGAGAGGACTCTTTAAAGTAGAGACACTAAATACTGATATACACCTGAACATCAGCAGGAGAGGACTCTTTAAAGTAGAGACACTACATACTGATATACACCTGAACATCAGCAGGAGAGGACTCTTTAAAGTAGAGACACTACATACTGATATACACCTGAACATCAGCAGGAGAGGACTCTTTAAAGTAGAGACACTACATACTGATATACACCTGAACATCAGCAGGAGAGGACTCTTTAAAGTAGAGACACTACATACTGATATACACCTGAACATCAGCAGGAGAGGACTCTTTAAAGTAGAGACACTACATACTGATATATACCTGAACATCAGCAGGAGAGGACTCTTTAAAGTAGATACACTACATACTAATATACACCTGAACATCAGCAGGAGAGGACTCTTTAAAGTAGAGACACTACATACTGATATACACCTGAACATCAGCAGGAGAGGACTCTTTAAAGTAGAGACACTACATACTGATATACACCTGAAATTGAGCATACGATCTCCTCTTCAATTATTAACCCCATACTGTATGTTATTTAAGAAAAACACTGAAAGTCTACGTGTTACCATGCCTTACCTTTACAAAATATAGATGACTTCTCATGATTCAAACAATAGAAAACTATCTGTAGGTGGAACGCACCTTGACTTTACAAGCCCAGACACAAGAGATGTTGTTAGTTTCAAGCCGTGACCTTTGTCTGTATTGTATTACTCAGTTTAAAAGGTTCCAACAAGGGAATGTTTACGTGATCGGCGTTATGACGTACAACGTTCTCCACAAATTCTGTAGTCCTATTCAGCCACTTATTAACAACCATCGTTTTTCAGACACGTAAACTCTTCAAAGATCACCAGTGGGGTCACTGCTGATGTATTTAATGTCGTAGAACAAAACGTGATCCGTCTCTTAAATGTGTGTCAACCACAGACCTTATTTCGAGCTATTTTCCTAAATCCTATGGAGAACTCCCATTGACTCTGAGACGAGGGAACCAGTAGTTGTTAAATGCTAACTCACTTCCGGGTTTTAGGGCTCGTCACTGCACCACTCTATTGTTTCCCTACTGTCAAGTCATGACCTGCCCTACCATCCCTCTGATTAGCTAGTACTTATTGGGTTTGCTGGTTAGGTTGGTTTGTTTTGCCATAAGGAGTAAGATGTTTTAGGTTAAGGGTTAGAATATCATGTTAAGCCAACCAGAGAAAAGCATAATTCCTTCTCCATGGTAGGAAAATAATATTCCGATGGGAAAGATGTGATGATGTCGTCCTAAATAATAACAAGTCATGTGCTTCTGTTAGTTGTGGGGATAGGATTTCTTTTTCTGGAAAGTTTTTGGGGTAACAAAGTGTCAAAAAAATTGGCTTTTTGTAATATTAAACAGTTGTTAGACTATTGGGGTTAGGAATAATGGTGCGTTGGAAAAAACCGCCATGTTTTCCCAACTTACTGCTCCTACCAAGGCTAGTTGCAGGTGTGATTATATGTTGTAAGCACTATGGAATTTGTAATCAATACATGAAGTGCCTGTTAAATTAAAGTTAATGTCAAGTATCATGTGTCTCCAAGAACCATTTGAGACGTTGTGTAAGGACTATGCAATATAAGAATAACAGCACTCACTTTACACAGAACTATGATATCTGATTGTTGTCATGATCATATCTCAGCACTACTGTTACTTTTCTTCTGCAGATAAGAGATGAACTTGATAGACAAGGGCTGACATCAGACATGACTCTCCGCCTCGTCAGAGCAACACTTCAACGTGAACTTTTACTGACCCCTGCAGGAACATTTGCTTTTCGCAAAGGGTGCATCCCAACTCTATTAAATTGCATCCAAGTGTTTCCTTTTTTTTCTGGATCCAATTCTCTTTATTTATTAGGTGCGCAATTTAAAGAGCAGTCCCTGCATTTTTTTTATTTACCTCAAACTCTGTGACGGTTTGATGGACAGTTCCCTGAGTGTTGTCTGAATTTGTATTTATATATGTCTTCTTGTTCTCTAAAGGTTAATTTAGGTTTTTCTTTAAAATATAAACCCTTTAAGTCAATCTAGTCTAATTGTTTCATACAATTGATTTCTACCTGGACTCACCCATCGGTAAATAATCCTCTCTTCTTTGGAATAAACCCTATCACCAAACATTTCCTCATACCCGGCAGTTTCCTGGTTTATTGTATGACTCTCATTGTGTGGAGAAAGTAACACCTTTACAGTACTATGTTTGTCTCTCTGCTGCTGCTACTGCTGGTCTGCAGCGCCCAGTCGTCACATTTTTACGGGACAGTAATGACTTATTACCCCAAAAAACGGTGACTGCGGGGCCCTGCACATGCCCCTTTCACACCAACGCGGTTCCAGGGGCCGGTACGGAGCTTGAGCCTGATAAGCATCGGTTTTTCCTGTTCACACCGCAGCGGAGCCGGGTCTTTTCTCCGAAAACCGGTTCTTCCAAGAACCGCATACGTCACGCTTACGTCGGAGGGGGGCGAGATTAACCTGAGCAAACAGTTTATGGCGATTACGGCAAATACAAGTTACGCAACGTCACACTTATAAAAGAAACACACTTTATAAAGTCAGGCAACACTAACCAGGCTTCGTGTGATTCTGTTTATTTGTACCTTACTTTGACCATCCGTTCGCTGTTATTGATCATTGTGGAGAGCAGGCATACGTTTTGTTTGTTATTATAGCAGCTATCGGATGGAATCAATACATGGGCTGCACAGGTTGTCATGTCCGACTATCACAAGTAGAATCATAATGAAAAATCCGCCGGTAAAATATGCCTGTAGAAAACGGCTTATGCCACAATAGGATAGCAACAAGTATTCAATATAGTCAGTTTAGCTTCAGTTGCTATGCTAACATCACCCATTTTATACCAGAGAAACTTTCATAACAGCGTTGTGATGCCAAACAGCGTAAATTCAGACTGAAACACATTCACTTATGGGATATGTTAACGGGAGAATAAACTCCGGTGGACAAGCCGCACTGCAGCAGTCGGTAAATGCCGCTGAAACACATTAATAAACAATGAACCACGGCACTCTGGAGAAAAGTATAAGGTTGGAGAAGTCGTTATTTAATTTAATCTGGCTTCGTATGATTAAAAGCAACACGATCATCGACCCGACGCAGTCCCCCATTGTTGCTGTTGTGAGCTCCGTTGGGGAGAAAATCAGCGACGTAAACGGTGACGTCATGACGCAGCCGCGGCAGCATCAGTCGGGCTCTGGGCGGTGTGAATAAAACGGGGGTGGAAAAGAAAAAACTGTTCCGAACCAGAAGAGCGCAAGCAAGGAGCTAGAACGGGAACCGCGTTGGTGTGAAAGGGGCAACAGACTATGGCTGTGACTGTTGCCCCTTTCACAGGGAGCTAGAACGGGAGCTGCGTTGGTGTGAAAGGGGCAACAGTCACAGACTATGGCTGTGACTTGTGTGTGACTGACCCGAGCTTGCGCCTCGTCGTTCTGATAGCTCCGCCCCTTCGCTCCAACCCCCCTCCCTCCCCCCACATCTACAGGTGAAAATTACTTTAGCGACACATTCATTGCAAGAAGTGTAGGAAAAGGCCGCAGATTCGTCGAATACTGCCACAGAGCAGATTTGTGAAGTTGTAATGACTGATTTGAGAGGTTGTAATAACCAAGTTGTAATGGAAAATATATTTTAAAAATATATTTTTTTCTGCAAGTGAACATTTCATCACTAAGTTAATTTTTTTTCTACAAGCTACAACACTTTTCTTTCTTCTGTGACTTCAAATTTGGTTCACAGATACGTGGATATTTTATACAAGTGTAAATATATGCACAAAAGCTCAGATTTCTTTCTGCAAATTTTCACATTGTACTCTACAAGTGCTCACATCAGGTTTTACAAGCTCTCGCATTTTGCACCATATCTACCTTCATATCTTCTTTGGAATTTCTACGATTCACTCAAAAGACCTTCTGAGTGGAAGACAGACACAAACCAAAAAGGGGAAGGGAGGGAGGAAGAAGGGCTGTCTTTTGAAGTAAATGCTTTAGTCTTGGTAGTCATTTACTCTCATTGTGTAGAGAAAGTAACACCTTTACTATGTGTGTCTCTCTGCTGCTGCTACTGCTGGTCTGCAGCGCCCAGTCGACTCATTTTTACGGGACAGTAATGACTTACTACCCAAAAAACACTAATTCAGATGGATCTCTCACGGTACGTAAAGTTTTCTTTTAATTCAATATGTATCTGTTGAAATGTGACAATACATAAGTAGAATAACTTCACATAACTAACAGTTTGTGAATGAATAATAGCTGAAAAAGTAAAAACAGCAATTTTGGAAAATGTTATTCTTAGAAAACTACAATTAGAGGGATTCACAAGGATTTTTTTTTTGCATTACCTTTGAATGAGGTGCTTGTTGTCTCTGTATGGAGCCTGGACCATTCATGTTATCTAAAAAAACACGATAGATTTTTTTTCCCGCAACTTTTTATGTTTTCTTTCCCTGGAATAACACTCGGCCACTGTAATAACTACAGGTTGTCCTTCGCTATAAGATGACCTTCGACCTTTGTTCTACGAGGGACTCCTGGGACTGCCCTTCTCAAAATTGCGGGACTCAGACTTCTCTGGTGCTAAACGATGTGGACGAGGAGAGCAGTGGAGAGTGGTGTCAAATAGAGGGAATCATGACTTGGCGGGTTCCCAGCTACTCTCAGTTCCAATTACAGTGAGTTCCATAATAATAAACATAACGTAGTGTGTTGTGTTACAAAAATCACAATTACATTTTTTGAAGACCTTTAAAGAAAAGATTGGTAATTGCAAAAACATAAAATGAAGGTTACATTTAATTGGTGGTGGTTTATACAAATTCAAATTGCTTTATTGGCATGACAATATTGAAACTTAGCGTTGCCAAAGCATGTTGTAAAGGTGGTAAAACAGTAAGACATACATGTTAACTATTATGTAATGAGAAATCAAGGAAAGAAACCACCACCATATTTAGGTTTTTGTAAGTTATTGTAAATCGCTTTGAATAAAAGTGTCAAATAAATGAAATGTAATGCAAGGTAAAGCTTTTGGTGTCACAACAATATTGTTCCAATCATTTATTTTGCTCTGGTCATAATGATTTTTAAACATATTAAATATTAGAATAGTTTCCAAGTTACAGGAACGCTTATGCAAGACATGGGTACATGTGCCAGGTTCTGTACTGCACGATAAATATTGACTTTCTCATGAAGGTTGACTGGCGGTAACTGGATAAATCAAAATAAGAATGGCATCAGAAATTGGAAAGCTGTGACTGGAGTGGAGCTGAGGAACAGGTCGGACATCGGACAAGCCAACACATCGCCCCAGACCACAATCCTGCCAGTCTTGAGGTGACCCCCCTCACGGTTTCTTTGTCTATCTATTTGTCAGCAGTTCTACCATTTTATGCCACAACACATCCTTTGACATTTAATAGTTAACTCTGTCTAGACAAAATTGAGCAACAGCAGATTGGTTGGCTGCATGGCTCGTGCTTCACATATTGTTTCTCTCTGTCAGAGTTCCTTCAAACTGTCGGAGAGATTTCCACCTGCTGGACTTTGATCCTGATGGAGATGAGGTCAGATGCAGATACGCAAGCTCCTCCCTGTCAGAGTGTTCCCAGTGCACTACGCCGTCTGTTCTCAGCCTCTCAGAAGTGAGTAGCTACAGTCACTGATGCTTGAAGATGACGTTATAAAAAAATTGGATTTCATTACTTTACAGGAAAACCTTTTTTTTTTTACCTCTTGTCCCCTTTTGTCCTCTTTCAGTCCTGTATTCTGTCCTTCAGCCCCACCAGCAGCGTAAACGAAGGTTCGTACATTGTACAGATGGTGATGGAGGACTTTCCCAGGCAGAACATCTCTCTGACTCAAAACGGAGGGCTGACAGTCAACAGTGCTATCAGCAAAATACCTGTCCAGTTTGTTGTAAGGGGTAAGATGTATTATTATTTTGCCTGAAGTTATTTATCATGGAGCTTGTTGATTATCAGTTATTTGAGAGTAAATTGTCAAAATTGTCACATTTTAAAGCGTCGGAACAACTGATGCAGAGACGACCCTAAAGGCATTGCCGTCCGTAAAAACGTTTCTTTATTTTTCCAGTGGACCCCGCAGTGCGCTCCTGCACAGAGGGACTCTATCTGCCCAGGTTCCTGACACCAACTCCAGCCAACAAAGCTCAACTGTACGCCCCTGTCAATCAGACCCTTTCTATCAGCGTCAATGCAGAGGCAAATGTCTTCACGTAAGTCTAACATACAACTAAATGTAAAGAACTTACATAACAAAATACCAAAGGTTAATTACATAGGACATTCTCTGGTTAGATGAAAAATACTTTTAGCCACACACAATAGGGCGGGAACAAATTGTAATCATTCTTTAAAGATTTTCAGGTGCACAAGGAATCTGACATGTTGTCTTTTGTAATTTAGACGCACAAGACAGGTTTGACAAGAGTGTAAGTTTAACTGAACCAACCAACTGTATGGTGCTAATATTTTTACACACAGTGGCTAATGCATTCAGGGCCCTAGAGTAAATTGTGCATAAGCACCATGTTTTGTCAGTAGTTTTACAAGCTCAGACTTTTAAAGGCATATACTGGTTCGACCACTTAATGTAAAATCAGCTTACCGTAGAACAACTGCAATGAAGGCATGAAAAACAGCATTAAAAAAAAAGTTTAATCAGGAACTTGGATTACCAAACACACAGGGAGAGCAACTTCAGTCGTTACTTCACTATATATTTATATAAAAAACATGTTTTGTTGCTACAATAATGCTCTAGAATTAGAATTGATAACATTTAACTCTTCTTCTGTTTTTTAAAGGACGTTTGAGCTGCTGTTCAGCGGGCCGCACAACATGATCAAGGGTTCATTAGGAGCAGGACGGTTCCTCCTGAAATGGACACCGTCTCAAGAAGAAGACGGAGAAAGCCATCCCATCTGTTTTGTCATCCAATCAATCACGAGGTCAGTCACTTGATCGGCTGAACATTAGCCTATAGCAACATATAAGGAAAGCTTTTAAGTGAAGGCAAAAGTGTTTAGGTCTGTCAGTATAAATATAAGAGATAAGAAAGTATGTGGGGAGGAATTTAGTTTTTAACTTCCTACAAGATAATGGGAAATGGACTCCAGGCAGTAGGTTTATGAATTTAAATGAATATATTATATTGGTGGTAAAGATTTGTATCACCATTTTGTTAATTACTTAGCGTATTGATATGTTTCAGTTCAACCATCAAATATCAGTCTGAGCTCCGATGTGTCATTGTGAGTGTTGGAAATGGTGAGTGAAACCGTCTTAGCTTCTACTTTTACATTCCATTTATATTTTCCTTGGTAATCTTTCTTGTATTCTCCTTTCCGCCCAACAATAAGCACAGCCGTTCCATCAACAACAACACCAATAGCTAGAAGCACTATAACTACACCAATAACAACACAACATACAACCACAATTCCCTCAACCCCTGCACCGCTAACCACAACAACCACCCTTACACCAAATACAACAACCACACAAACTACAACCACAATTCCATCATCATCTACACCAGTGGCTACAGCCACCATCACTACATCAACTACAACAACAACAACAACAACAACAACAACAACAACACAAAATACAACCACCATTCCAACAACAACTACACCACTAACCACAACAACCATCCCAACATCAACAACTACCACATTAATTACAACAACCACCCCTACACCAAATACAACAACCACACAAACTACAACCACAGTTCCATTAACAACTACTCAGCTAACTACCACCAGAACAACATCTACACCAGTTACAAACAGTACTCATTTCACAACAACTACTCCACTAACAACAACAAGAACAACCGGTGAAACTACAACCTTAGTTCCCTCAACAGTTACTCCAACAACCACACAAACTACAACAACTCCCTCAACAACTACTCCACTAACCACCACAACAAGCATCCCTACAACAACTACAACAATCACTCACACTACAACTCCCTCAACAACTACTCCACAGACCACAACAACCATAAGTACACCAACTATATCAACTGCACAAACAACAACCATGACTACAATAATCACACCAGCAACAACAACTACTCAATCCACAATAACTACACCACTGACCACGAGCACTATTCCTACAACAACCACAGAAATTATGACTACAATTCCTCCAACAACTACTCCACTAACTACAACTAGCACAACAACTTCACCAGTTACAACCACTACTCATTCCACAACAACCATCCCTACAACAACAGCCTTAACTACAACTACAGTTCCCTCAACAACTACCCCACTGACTTTGACCAGCAGTACAACTACACCAGTTACAACCACTACTCAATCAATAACAACTATCCCTCTCAGCACAACAACTATCCCTACACCAACCACTCAAACATCCACCATCGTCCCTTCACCAACTCCGACTGTTCTCCCTACTACTACAACATCAAGTCCATCACGGATTTCTACATCTGAAGACACAACTGAATCCCCAACACCTGTAACTGGAGTCTCAAAACAAGGTGAGTACGACAAATGGTGACGTTTTAAACTATGTTTTCACCAAGAGGAGTTTTCCATAGAAAACTGCAGGATGGTAAACGGGAAACCAAATTGCAGTAATTTGGCCCACCTCTGTATCTCTTAATGCAAATAGTTCAAGGTTCAAGGCTTTTATTGGTCATACGTACATAGCTACAGTGTAGTTATGACAATGAACATTTTAGGTCACAGGCTCCTCCAACAGTGCAACACAATAAAACAGACAATCAGAAGAAAAAAAATGGCAAGTAAATACAAAAACAAAAATAGTAAAAAAGTGAAATAGTGAAATAGTGCAATAAGAGTCTATATACAAGTGATTGGAATATGATATATTAGATAAATAATGTCTAAGTTGCAGCCAGATTAATGTTATGGAGGTTGTTTCAAAAGTTCAGGTGTTTAATAGTCTTATGGCCTGTGAAGAAAGTTAAATAAGAACAATCACATATCAGTTGAGGTTCTCTATGCATATTAGTGTTTCAGCACTCTTCTGGCCTGCATTGTAATGTCAAGTCACTGTTCTTCTAGGTGTTGTAGCTATAATAATCAAGATTTCCTCTGCGTCTCCACTGTCTGAGGACTTCATCAGGAGTACCATCATACAACAGGTCAGCCTCTTATTGTCTACTCAGAGATCAGCTCATGTCAAAGCATCAATTTAAAGTTTCCTAATGTTTCTTCTGCCTATTTTTCCAAAATCCCAAAAATGATTCGTTGAACCGGGAAGCCCTTTTCACCCCTTTATCCTTAAAACAAACTGCTGATGTATTTAATGTCGTAGAACAAAACGTGATCCGTCTCTTAAATGTGTGTCAACCACAGACCTTATTTCGAGCTATTTTCCTAAATCCTATGGAGAACTCCCATTGACTCTGAGACGAGGGAACCAGTAGTTGTTAAATGCTAACTCACTTCCGGGTTTTAGGGCTCGTCACTGCACCACTCTATTGTTTCCCTACTGTCAAGTCATGACCTGCCCTACCATCCCTCTGATTAGCTAGTACTTATTGGGTTTGCTGGTTAGGTTGGTTTGTTTTGCCATAAGGAGTAAGATGTTTTAGGTTAAGGGTTAGAATATCATGTTAAGCCAACCAGAGAAAAGCATAATTCCTTCTCCATGGTAGGAAAATAATATTCCGATGGGAAAGATGTGATGATGTCGTCCTAAATAATAACAAGTCATGTGCTTCTGTTAGTTGTGGGGATAGGATTTCTTTTTCTGGAAAGTTTTTGGGGTAACAAAGTGTCAAAAAAATTGGCTTTTTGTAAGATTAAACAGTTGTTAGACTATTGGGGTTAGGAATAATGGTGCGTTGGAAAAAACCGCCATGTTTTCCCAACTTACTGCTCCTACCAAGGCTAGTTGCAGGTGTGATTATATGTTGTAAGCACTATGGAATTTGTAATCAATATATGAAGTGTGTGTTAAAGTAAAAGTTAATGTCAAGTATCATGTGTCTCCAAGAAACCATTTGAGACGTTGTGTAAGGACTATGCAATATAAGAATAACAGCACTCACTTTACACAGAACTATGATATCTGATTGTTGTCATGATCATATCTCAGCACTACTGTTACTTTTCTTTTGCAGATAAGAGATGAACTTGTTAGACAAGGGCTGACATCAGACATGACTCTCCGCCTCGTCAGAGCAACACTTGTTGATTCAACGTGAACTTTTACTGACCCCTGCAGGAACATTTGCTTTTCAGTTGACTATCAGATATAAAACAGCAAGATCAGAAACTCTACCCTCACTGTTAAGCAAACCGCTCTTCAAATGTGTGAGGAAGATCCAAATTCCTCTCACTGTCTGCTAAAAAAAAAATGTTTTGTAAAGAAATGATAAACAGAAAAGCTATCATGAAATCCATGAGCTGAGTTTCAGTTCTCCTTCAGTCTTGATATGTGGTTTGAGAGTGGGCGGGGTCTAAACTGTGATTGGTCAAATGATGGGGATGAAGTTGAATTGATGACACTCAAAGATGTATGGTTAAAACGTATTATTTGAAAGTAAATAATGTAATTATGACAATAAATTAGTAATTGAGGTTTTTGTTTATTTGTTTGTTAATTTTGTGACCAATCACAACTAATCAAGTGACCTGATTGGCCAATTTCGAATTGGGAAAGCGGGCTCGAAAGAGGAATCTTGTTTTTGTTTTTAGAAAGAGAAGCATCTTGTTCTGTTTCTTTTGATACACGTTTCTGTTTGAGAGCTGAAAATAGAACTGCATATATTCTTTTCATAAAAAACATCTTTGCAAGTGTCATGTTTGACCTTTTTCCACGTTTCCACACACTACCCTGCACTTAACTTTACGACATATAAATGACATTAACAATAACAGTTTACCGCCGGAACATCCTCCCATTTATATCCAAAAACACTGAGTAACAAATAAACTAGGAGCATGGTACAGAGTAGCTTGGAGCCAAATTTGACATTTTTATGGTCGGGCCGCATTCCAATTTTTCTTATTTACCTCACACTCTGTGACGATTTAATGGACAGTTCCTTGAATTTTTAGTTCATTTAGGTTTTTCTTTACAATAAAAACCCTTTAAATCAATCTAGTCTAATTATTTCATCCAATCGATTTCTACCTGGACTCACCCATCTGTAAATAATTATCTCTTCTTTGGAATAAACCCTATCACCAAACATTTCCTCATTCCCGGCAGTTTCCTGGTTTATTGTTCTACTATTCACTCAAAAGACCTTCTGAGTGGAAGACAGCCAAAAAGCAAAAAGGGAAAGGGAGGGACGAAGAAGGGCTGTCTTTTGAAGTAAATGCTTTAGTCTTGGTAGTCATTTACTCTCATTGTGTGGAGAAAGTAACACCTTTACTATGTGTGTCTCTCTGCTGCTGCTACTGCTGGTCTGCAGCGCCCAGTCGACTCATTTTTACGGGACAGTAATGACTTACTACCCAAAAAACACTAATTCAGATGGATCTCTCACGGTACGTAAAGTTTTCTTTTAATTCAATATGTATCTGTTGAAATGTGACAATACATAAGTAGAATAACTTCACATAACTAACAGTTTGTGAATGAATAATAGCTGAACAATTTAAAAACAGCAATTTTGGAAAATGTTATTCTTAGAAAACTACAATTAGAGGGATTCACAAGGATTTGTTTTTGTATTACCTTTGAATGAGGTGCTTGTTGTCTCTGTATGGAACCTGGACCATTCATGTTATCTAAAAAAACACGATAGATTTTTTTCCCCCCAACTTTTTATGTTTTCTTTCCCTGGAATAACACTCGGCCACTGTAATAACTACAGGTTGTCCTTCGCTATAAGCTGAGCTTCGACCTTTGTTCTCGGAGGGACTCCTGGCGCTGCCCTCCTCAAAAATGCGGGACTCAGACTTCTCTGGTGCTAAACGATGTGGACGAGGAGAGCAGTGGAGAGTGGTGTCAAAGAGAGGGAATCATGACTCGGCGGGTTCCCAGCTACTCTCAGTTCCAATTAAAGTGAGTTCCATACAGTAATAATACACATAATGTAGTCTGTTGTTTAAAAGAGGGTACAAAAATCACAATTACATTTTTTGAAGACCTTTAAAGAAAAGATTGGCAATTGCAAAAACAAAAAATTAAGGTTCAATTTAATTGGTGGTGGTTTATACAAATTCAAATTGCTTTATTGGCATGACAATATTGAAACTTAGCGTTGCCAAAGCATGTTGTAAAGGTGGTAAAACAGTAAGACATACATGTTAACTATTATGTAATGAGAAATCAAGGAAAGAAACCACCACCATATTTAGGTTTTTGTAAGTTATTGTAAATCGCTTTGAATAAAAGTGTCAGATAAATGAAAAGTAATGCAAGGTAAAGCTTTTGGTTTCACAACAATATTGTTCCAATCATTGCTTTCGCTCTGGTCATAATAATTGTTAAACATATTTAATATTAGAATAGTTTCCAAGTTACAGGAACGCTTATGCAAGACATGGGTACATGTGCCAGGTTCTGTTCAGCATGTTAAAACTTGACTTTCTCATGAAGGTTGACTGGCGGTAACTGGATAAATAGTAAGAATGGCATCTCGAGTTGGAAAGCTGTGACTGGAGTGGAGCTGAGGAACAGGTCGGACATCGGACAAGCCAACACATCGCCCCAGACCACAATCCTGCCAGCCTTGAGGTGACCCCCCTCACGGTTTCTTTGTCTATCTATTTGTCAGCAGTTCTACCATTTTATGCCACAACACATCCTTTTAAATGAAGAAAAAACATCACATTGTGTGTACATTTGGTTTATTTTATTGGTTTATCTCGGTTTTAACTTCAGATTCACGCTTAAATTAAAAAAAGGTTTCCTGGAGCTAACAGTGAGCAACAAACGGGTCAGATTGCATGCAATATCCATTTCCTACCAAATGACAATCACCTCATTGTCTTTTGACATTTAATAGTTAACGCTGTCTAGACAAAATTGAGCAACAGCAGATCGGTTGGCTGCCTGGCTCGTGCTTCACATAGTTTTTCTCTGTCAGAGTTCCTTCAAACTGTCGGAGAGATTTCCACCTGCTGGACTTTGATCCTGATGGAGATGAGGTCAGATGCAGATACGCAAGCTCCTCCCTGTCAGAGTGTTCCCAGTGCACTACGCCGTCTGTTCTCAGCCTCTCAGAAGTGAGTAGCTACAGTCACTGATGCTTGAAGATGACGTTATAAAAGAATGGCATTTCATTACTTGACAGGAAACCTTTTTTTTTACCTCTTGTCCCCTTTTGTCCTCTTTCAGTCCTGTATTCTGTCCTTCAGCCCCACCAGCAGCGTAAACGAAGGTTCGTACATTGTCCAGATGGTGATGGAGGACTTTCCCAGGCAGAACATCTCTCTGACTCAAAACGGAGGGCTGACAGTCAACAGTGCTATCAGCAAAATACCTGTCCAGTTTGTTGTAAGGGGTAAGATTTGTTATTATTTTGCCTGAAGTTATTTATCATGGAGCTTGTTGATCATCAGTTATTTGAGAGTAAATTGTCAAAGTCATTGGATGATTCCTCTGCTAGCTAGCGATGGATACGGTTTGAATTTGTTTTATTCTTCCAATTTATGCTTTCAACAAAAAAAGGAATCAGTTCTCAAAGAGTTAAATGCTGAGTTAAAATGGGTCTAGATTTGACAAAAGGTTATGGCAATCAAACAGTAGGCAAGATATTTTAAAGTGTCGGAACAACTGATGCATGGACGACCGTAAAGGCATTGCCGTCCTTAAAAACGTTTCTTTATTTTTCCAGTGGACCCCGCAGTGCCCTCCTGCACAGAAGGACTCTATCTGCCCAGGTTCCTGACACCAACTCCAGCCAACAAAGCTCAACTGTACGCCCCTGTCAATCAGACCCTTTCTATCAGCGTCAATGCAGAGGCAAATGTCTCCACGTAAGTCTAACATACAACTAAATGTAAAGAACTTACATGTCAAAATACCAAAGGTTAATGACATAGGACATTCTCTGGTTAGATGAAAAATCACACACAATAGGGCGGGCACATACACAAATTGTAATCATTCTTTAAAGATTTTCAGGTGCACAAGGAATCTGATATGTTGTCTTTTGTAATTTAGGGTTAGGGTTACACTTTATTTCTTTACAATAAAAACCAAGACAGGTTTGACAAGAGTGTAAGTTTAACTGAACCAACCAACTGTATGGTGCTAATATTTTTACAGACAGTGGGTAATACATTCAGGGCCCTAGAGTAAATTGTGCATAAGCACCATGTTGTCTCAGTAGTTTTACAAGCTCAGATCTTTAAAGGCAACCTGTTAAGCCCCAAAGACCCCGCCGGCGACACTGTGTCTCAGGGCTTCTTAATATTTAAAAAACTATGAATGTGTCATACCGTCCTAACGGGAAGAAACTCAGCTAACTGATGATATGAACCATTTTTACCGAAACAAAACACAAGTCTCACAAGAAGGGTCTAAATGAGCCCTGAGCGAAAACATGCTAACGCACTTAGCACAGAACTAGGTATAAATCGATCGATATTAGGGATGTAATGATATATCGAATATCGCGATATCGCGGTAAATACATGTCTCAATACCGTCGTGAGACTGACAAAATCTACCGCGATTTTATACATTTAAATATATTAATATATATAATTTTTTTATTTTAAACCCCTTTTTTTTTAAACCTTTATTTTACCAGGTGGTCCCATTGTAGTGTTGCACAGTGTACCGATACATGAAAGGTACCGCGATACCCTGCCGTTAACATTTTTAGGATTCCTCTGTTTCATTAGTATCGGTACTTTAAGAATGACGGGGAAAAGTACTCCGGTGAGAAAGCGCTGTTTTAATAAGAGCCGTGTGTGTTCAGCGCTCTGCTTCCACTCCCTGCACTGCAGCCGTGCCTGCAGCCCCTCCCCTCTCAAGCACGCTCTAAGTGCCTCCCCTCTCTCATGCACGCGCTTGCTGCCAGAGCATGCGTGGAGGCGTGTGGTGCAGCGGGTCACAGGTTCAAACCCCACTGCAGTCAGCATGTCGTTGTGTCCCTGAGACACTTCACCCCAAATTGCTCCTGTGGGGATTGTCCACAGTATTGAGTATGTAAGTCGCTTTGGATAAAAGCGTCTAACAAGTGACATGTAATGTAATGTAATGTGAGAAAACGAGAAGCATGGCTGCAAGTGGGAGTGCAACTGCCGCCGCGCCTCGGCTTGTTGACAAAAAAGACGCCAGAAGCGAAATTTGGAAGTATTTTAGCTATATCTCTGACAGTGAGGGCAAGCCTACGGACACCACGAGGCCTGTCTGTAAGACATGTTTTAGATCCCTGCAAACCAAGGGAGCCAACACATCAAACTTGGCTAAGCACCTCGCCGACCGGCATCCAGAGCTGTTTAAAGAATTTAAAGACAGACAGGTTAGCGAATGTGATAGATAACATAATTACATCATGCTCAAGCCCATGCCCTCAAATCTAATACCCCTTTCACACCAACGCAACTCCGGTTCAAGCTCCGTGCTAGAGCTTTTCAGGTTCGGAACCAGTACTTCGGTTTAGCTCCGGCTCTTTTCACACCGCTCAGAGACCGACTGGTGCTGCCGCTGCTGCGTCATGACGTCACAGTTTACGTCGCTGATTTTCTCCCCAACGGAGCTCACCTCACAACAACAACGGGCCGGGGACTGCGTTGCTTTTAATCATACGAAGCCAGATTAAATTAAATAACGACTTCTCCAACCTTATACTTTTCTCCAGAGTGCCGTGGTTCATTGTTTATTAATGTGTTTCAGCGGCATTTACCGACCGCTGCAGTGCTGGCCGGCTGCTCTTCCACGAGTGTATTCTCCCGTTAGCTCCGGGTTAGCTCACACGGCTCTAAAGTATTCACTGTCTGACTGTCACACAAGCAGCTGATACATATCCCCAGTTCCCCTTAAGTGAATGTGTGTCAGTCTGAATTGACGCTGTTTGGTGTCAGTCTGAATTGACGCTGTTTGGCATCACAACGCTGTTATGAAAGTTTCTCTGGTATAACATGGGTGATGTTAGCATAGCAACCGAAGCTAAACTGACTACTTGCTAAGCCGTTTTCTACAGGCACTTTTTACCGACGTATTTTTCATTATGATTCTACTTGTGATAGTCGGACATGACAACCTGTGCAGCCCATGTATTGATTCCATCCGATAGCTGCTATAATAACAAACAAAACGTCTGCCTGCTCTCCACAATGATCAATAACAGCGAACAGATGGTCAAAGTAAGGTACAAATAAACAGAATCACACGAAGCCTGGTTAGTGTTGCCTGACTTTATAAAGCGTGTTTTTTTTTTTACAAGTGTGTGGTTGCGTTCTAGTCACTTTGCTCAGCACTACTGCTTGTTACAACTTTTATTTGCCGTACTCGCCTTAACTGTTAGCTCAGGTTAATCTCGCCCCCCTCCGACGTAAGCGTGACGTATGCGGTTCTTGCATTTAGACGGACAACTTTTTGGTGCTCGAAACGAACCGGATTCCGGAGCTTAGAGGCTGCTCCGCTGCGGTGTGAACAGGAAAACCCGGTGCTTTTCAAGCACCAGCACCGAACCGGCCCCGAAACACCGTTGGTGTGAATGGGGTATAAGTCAAACAAGTGTAATTTATTTTGTGACAAACGAACGTTTTCGTAGTTTGACGAGGCAATTAATGGCAATGATAACTGTCTAATATGGCTATCTTTTTAGCTAACTTACCAATGTGGCTAACATCTGCAATGTACATTGTGTCAATAATTATTTATATTACTGTACTATTACATGTTAATAAAATATAAAGTTAACTATCAAAGAAATCACATAAACTCAAGTATAAAGAAGAGACCATGTTGTAAGAAAACATTTAACCAGTGGCGAGCCGTCAGGGCCCTCTAGGCCCTCTGTGAGGGCCTAAGATATTCTAAAAAATAATATTTAAAAACATTTAAAAGAAATATATATTTTTTAAATATATATTTTTTTAATATTATTTTTGTTATATTTTTCATTAGTTTTACCGAAAAAAAACTTGATTTAATTGTATTTAAAATAACATTTCCAAAGAAATAAATCCTTCGATTCTGCCTGTTCAGACTCTGTTTGAATGTGAAGGGTTACATGAAAGAAGCTCGTCTGGCCCTCTCTGCGATTCACAGAGGGTCCGCTATAGTAACTGAACGAGAGAGTAATGTCAAATGACAGTACAATTGACCAATCATATCTTCCCTCTAAATGGGTGGGTTTTATTATCGCGGACTTTATGACAAGTTCCGCCCGCTGTGAAACTTTTCTTGTTTCCATAGCAACAACAACTTCCTGTCAACAGCGTGAACTCGCCTTCAAAATAAAAGCATGCCAAATTACACTTAAGACATACAACTGCAACGAAAGTAACAAACACAATGCAATATCATTTTCAATGTCAAAGAACACAAATTGGGTTCACAGGTGTTGTTTGTGTGGTAGAGGGTCGCTGTCATTGATGCGTTTTGCACCCTGGGCCGTTGTTTTGATATTCCGCTGAAGTATACGCTGTGACGTAATAACTCTTTTTTTTTTTTTTTTTTCGAGGGAATTGGTGGGGGTCAGAGGGCCTAGGTATAAAGCTCACGGCTCGCCACTGCATTTAACAGATAAACTACAATTGTATTGATCATGAAAATAATAAAAGAAAAAGAATCGGAATCGCAATTCTTGACTTGGTATCGGTATCGAAACCAAAATGTTGGTATCGTGACAACACTAACCCATTGAGATCATCGATCTCTTTTTCAAGAGAGACCTGTCCAACATGGCAGCAAGTAGGTTACAACATGAACATAAAACAACAGATAACACAAAAGGGCATCGTATTTACAGGGCTAAGTACCAACAGTATATGTATATCTCGCCCTGTCAATAAGCCTCACCTTCTTGGCAAAAACTGTATTTTTTTTGAAGTGGTGGAGAGACAATGCACAGTTTTACCCACTGCTGTCACCCGTGGACAAAGCATATCTCTCTGTCCCAGCAACATCAGTACCAAGCAAGAGAGTTTTTTCCACAGCAGGGGATATTGTAAACCCCCAAACATCCCAGCTTCTACCTGGAAATGTGGGCATGCTCATATTCCTAAAAACCTGTCTGATGATGCTGAGTGAGTGAGTTAGTGAGTTTGAGTTGAGTTACTTGAAAAACTAAAGTGAAACTTGATTTATTTTATTGCAGGGTCTGATTATTATATTGTTGACACTTTAAAATACTACTAAAATGCTGTACAAATCAGATTTATTATTCAATAAAGAAAAAACAATTCAAGTAAAAAAAAAAAATGTCAAAATAAAATGAAAAATAAAAAATTCACAGTTTTTTCCTTCTTTATTTTTCAATATCACGATAAATATGGTACCGTGGAGTTTTTATCGCGATATTATCGTACCGTGAGTTTTTGGTATCGTTACATCCCTAATCGATATACTTATCGGATCTGCAGAAACAAGTTTAGCTAACAAGCTGATATTCCACAGATTATAGAAATATAAGTATCATCACTGAGCGATCAGAACTCGCGACAGGGGAAGCAAATACAGACAACACACGACGTAGCTTTAGGTAGCAAAACACGGAGATATGCTCACCTTTTGCTGTTATTCTGATCAAAAGTTGTGTTCAATGGCATTACAACGAGAAAAACGCGGCTGAAGGTTAATCCATAGGTTAATCCAATGTGTGTGTGAGTAAATTGTACATAAGCACCATGTTGTTTTACAAGCTCAGACTTTTTAAGGCATATATTGATTTGACCACTTCATGTAAAATCAGCTTACCGTAGAACAACTGCAATGAAGGCATGAAAAACAGCATTAAAAAAAAAGTTTAATCAGGAACTTGGATTACCAAACACACAGGGAGAGCGACTTCGGTTGTTACTTCACTATATATTTATATAAAAAACAGGTTTTGTTGCTACAATAATGCTCTAGAATTAGAATTGATAACTTTTAACTCTTCTTCTGTTTTTTAAAGGACGTTTGAGCTGCTGTTCAGCGGGCCGCACAACATAATCAAGAGTTCATTAGGAGCAGGACGGTTCCTCCTGAGATGGACGCCGTCTCAAGAAGAAGACGGAGAAAGCCATCCCATCTGTTTTGTCATACAATCAATCACGAGGTCAGTCACTTGATCGGCTGAACATTAGCCTATAGCAACATATAAGGAAAGCTTTCAACTGAAGGCAAAGGTGTTTAGGTCTGTCACTATAAATATAAAAGATAAGAAAGGATATGGGGAGGAATTTCGTTTTTAACTTCCTAAAAGATAATGGGAGTAGGTTTATGAATTTAAATGAATATATTATATTGGTGGTAAAGATTTGTGTCACCATTTTGTAAATGACCCTAACTTCCACAGTTCAACCACCAAATATCAGTCTGAGCTCCGATGTGTCATTGTGAGTGTTGGAAATGGTGAGTTAAACCGTCTTAGCTTCTATTTTTACATTTCATTTATATTTTCCTTGGTAATCTTTCTTGTATTCTCCTTTCCGCCTTACAGAGCCAACAATAACCACAGCCGTTCCATCAACAACAACACCAGTAGCTACAAGCACTATCACTTCACCAACAACAACACAACATACAACCACAATTCCCTCAACGGCTGCACCGCTAACCACAACAACCACCCTTACACCAAATACAACAACCACACAAACTACAACCGCAGTTCCCTCAACAACTACTCAGCAAACCAGCACAACATCTCATTTCACAACAACTCCTTCAGTAATAACAACAACGACTATCCCTACACCAACTACAAAAACAACACCAGATACAACCACTGCACAATCCACAACTATCAAACTAACCACAGCAACCACCCCAACATCAACAACTACCGCATTCATCACAACAACCACCCCTACACCAAATACAACAACCACACAAACTACAACCACAATTCCATCAACAACTAAAACAACACCAGATACAACAAACACACAAACTACAACCACAATTCCAACATCATCTACACCAGTGGCTACAGCCACCATCACTACATCAACTACAACACAAAATACAACCACCATTCCCAAAACAACTACACCACTAACCACAACAACCATCCCAACATCAACAACTACCGCATTAATTACAACAAA